GCCCACGCGCGTCACAAATGCCTTGCAAGTGCCAAACAGAGCGTCGATGGCTTCATGGCCGAGACGCTCCGTCGGCTGCGACGCCGCGTTGATACGAGAGCGCGACATATCATCTACGAGCCGCAGCTTCTCGGACCCGTCCTCTCTCGACTGCCGGACGCCGAACCGCGGCGACAAAACCGCACCGTCGAGCTCGACCGCGCTGAGCGGCGCGGGATGGCTCATTCGGCCGAGCTCCGCTTCGGCGATAGTTTTGGTGAGAATCACGGCGGAGTCGCTAGACTCCTTGAGCGTGCCGAGCAGCGCGGCGTTGCCTCGCTCCGCGCCCGCGGCCAAGTCCGGCAGGCTGAGCGGTACAGGGAAAGATTCCGGACGCCCGTTCCCCGTGCACGGGAGAGGGCCCACGAGAGGCGCGCCGCGCCGAAAGACTTCCACGCAGGCCGCGTCCTCGTAACCGATTTCGTCGAGCAGTTCGACGAGAAGAGGGCCGTTGATCGACCCTGCGATTGTGCGCACATGGGCATCGCAGCCCGCGAACCAGGCCGCCGTCGCTCCAGAGGCGCGTAGCTCGGCGTCCCTGGCCCGAATTCGCTCGAGAGTCGCTCGCCGCTCACGGCACACCTGCCGCTCCGAGCGCGCAGCAATCCAATCGATCGCCGCCAAAACATCGCCGGGCACCACCACGGCCTTTTCAAAGGCCTCTTTGTCCTCGAAGGAGTGAGAACGGGAGAGGACCTCTTCAAGAAAGGCGAGCTTAGGCGCTTCCTCAGCAGACGCAGGCGACGGCAGGTGACAGCAGCCGGCAGTGGCCAGCGCGCAACCGCGTGCATTGCAACTCGAGGCAGCATTCTGCCGGGCGCGCGAGCCCGCGAGCGTCGCGCGCCACAACGCGCAGCGCCTGATAATCCCATGTGGCAGCGATACTGGGCCCCATCGCATCCTGCGCTTTGCGAGCGCGAGCGCTCGAGCCTGCCGGGGGCGTTCGCGCGCCTCCTGGCCCAGCGGGCGGGCGGCCCTCGCGTCGCGAACGGACCGCGAGTGTTGACTGGCACCCAAGCCCTGGACGACGCGGCAACAACGCGGCGCCCTCCTGCCAGCGCGCGCGCGCGCGCCTGCGGGTCCCACGGGACGGTGGCTGAGGTTGGCGCCCATTCGTTGTTATTCAAATGCCAACGTGGCGCGCGATGCACGTCCTCATCGGCGCGCGTCCCGCACATCGCCGCGCGCCGCGGGCTGCGCGTGCCTCCGGCGGGCGTCAGGCGCGCGGCTTCTTCTGAGGAGAATACACCGTTCGCGAATCCCAGGAGCGCTTGTTGTAATCCCCGCGATAGGATCGGGACTGCCACCCGTCGGCTCTGGAATCGCGGTCGTTCTTCCAGGAAGTGACGGCGGCGCCCCCCGCGGCTCCCACGGCGCCCGCGGCGCTCGCGGCGCTCGCACTCTGCCCGCGCGCTGCCGCGGCGCTTTTCCCTGCACCCTTGCCGGCCGGCGCGGCAACCTGCGCGACAGCGGTGGCGCAACGCGAACAAGGGATTCGGCGACGCGGCCTTAAGAGCCCGATCATATTCCGCTTCCGCCGCGCGGAGCAGCCCGACGTCAAGCGACAGCGCCGCAACGTTCACCTGCGCGCCGACGCGCGCCCGAGAATAACGCGCCGAAGCATGGCGCGGAGCTGCGGCCTGGAGGCCTGCCGCGCCGGCGGCGGCACGCTCGGCCCACGTCCTCCGCACAAGGCGGTCGTAGACCAAGGCAACCTGGGCCTTCCGTCCCTGCAGGGGGGCATCCAGTGCAACCTGGGCAAGCGCGCCCACTTCGGCGACCAGCGGACGGGCGCCAATGTCGACTCGCCTGGAGAACAACGTGTTTGTGAGCCATGGCGCTCGTGTACGAAATCTGATCAGTGACCGCGGCCGCCACGCTCCACGCGTCGTAAGCTTGGTGCCATGGCGTCCACGCCAGAAGCGGCTGGCTCTCCGCCGCGGTTCCCCGTCCGAACGCTCTGGCCAACGCGGCCGCCTCTTTCGACTCGGGCTCGTCATCGTCGGGAGAGCCGCCCGCGCCGCGCGCGCAAAGCGGCTGGAACTTCGCGAGCTCAGTATAAATGAACGGGCGCGCGATTCCCCTGGATTTCGCGCGCTGCACCTCGGTGGCCAGCGCATCGGTCTTCGCTGACCTGAGCGAACGATGGAAACGCGCCAGCGCGCCGGGGCGAAGCCGCGCGGCAGCCTCGGCCACAGGGACTCCGGAAGGTCCCTCAAGCTGATCTGGGCCAGGCCAGCGCCGATGTCGACATGCTCTCCCTTCGGCGGGAGCCCAGGATTCTGCAGCAACCGAACCGAAACGACCCGCCGAAGCCGGCGCGGGCCCCGCGGCACCCGGCGCACTCGCCTTGGCTGCCGCCACCGTCGCGCGATCCAGAGCGCGCCGCAGGACGCCCTTCGTCAGCGCCGTCGCGCCATCGGCATCCTTCAAATCGCCGAATTGAAGATTGGCCAATTCTTCTGGCATCGTCAGCCCATTGGCTGCCAGGCAATCAATGGCGCCCTTGAACTGGATATCAGTCCACTTCGCGCCCACAACAGGGTCAGACTGCAAGAAGGCAAGCATCGCCATCGCAATCACAGCGCCACGGGGCACGAGCGAGAACCACGCCAGCTGAAGCCCGCTCGCTTGCATGCCAGCGCGCCATGGTGACGAATGAGAGCGTGCCAACGACAGCTCGTGGTCACTATGGACCAGAAGAGAGGGCCCCATTGGGCACGTGAACGCAGCAGGCCGCTATGGGCCGCAACGAAGCCACTATGGGCCGCAAGGAAGCCACTATGGGCCGAGCGAAGCCCCCAGAGGGCGGAGGGCCGAAACCCGACACACGGCACGGTATTTATATCCCGCCCCAGTGCCAGGCGGAGGAAGCACGGCACGGCACTGCACCACACGACGCGAGCGGGAGGCGGAAGAGGGTCGACCAGCGCGCGGCCGACCAGCCGAGCGAGGGCGCCCCCGCGGCCAGCCGCGGGGGTCGTTCACAGCGCGGGCGGATTTGTGCCAAGCAATAACTTCGTTATTCCGACCCGAAAACAATGAAAAACCTCCGTCCTGTCTGGAAAACAATGAAAAACCTCCGAAAACAATGAAAAACCATGTTTTTCGACGCGAGCCTGTCTGGGAGAAGGCCCTTCCCCTTTTCGCCTCCCCCCCTCGCTCGCTCGCCGAGCTCGTGCCCGGAGGCGGCCCCCCGCCCGGGGGAGCGCGGCGGGCCCACGGGGTGGGGACCACGGGGGGGGGTCCGCCCACGCAGGTTTCCCGCGCCGCGGGAGCAGGGCTGGGATTCAGTCGGCCCGAACCCAACTTTGAAATTTGGGGGAAGGGGGGGGGGCGAATGCGGGGCCGAGTGTGGGGCTGCGTTCAGTCGGGCCTGTCCCTCTACAGGTGGAGTATGCAGAAATAGTGAATCTCTCTCTCTATCTCTATATATATATATATATATATATATATATATTGTGGGGGCGATTGCGAAGGCCTTACGGCCGGTGCCGCAGACCCACCTTTTATTTGTCGTCCAAATCCCCCTGCAGGAGGACAGGCCCGACTGAAGGCTGAGACGACGGACGTCTGCGCCCCCCTCCCTTTCCAGCTTGGGGCGGTCGAAATGGGTGCGGAAGGGTGGGGTACGATGCCCAACCCCAAAGACCCAGCGTGTTGACAAGACTCAAGACGGAGGGTTTTCCCCGTTTCCTGCATCTAGAGGCCCTCGCCGGGCCCCGGGACCGTCGAAAAACAACCCAAGATGGAAAAACCGGTCCTGGGAAATGGGTCGAGACTTCCGGGGACCCCGCATTGAAAAAAACACTACGTCGGATCTCTCGGGGGCCCCCGAACGGGGTGGTGACCACAGCGTGCGGTGAGTCGGTGGGGATTCCGGGTCACCGCACGGTTTTGGGACTCGAGTCCCTCTCCGAGGACGTCTCGGGCGACAGGGGCCTCCGAGGTCCCAAGACCGTGCGGTGACGGACCGTGCGGTCTTGTGGTTCCGAGGTCGCCGCGCGGTCTGTCACCGCACCGTTTCGGGACTCCAGAATCTCTGGGACGGCAGTTCCTGTTCGTTTTAAGAAGGGCTCGTTGTCCGCGCCGCCGCGGATGCTGGCTCACTGAAGACACAGGGCCGCCTGCCCAGCAGCGGCCGCTGTCGGTTTTGGACAACATTTGTTTTCGGGCATTGTGCCCATGTTTTCCGTACCCATCTCGGGCGTCCAGATCAGCTCGGCAGCACGTAAGAGTGGCCCTTCACCGGAGTGACCTTTGGTTCGAGAAGATTTCTACATGACCACAGCCTGGAGCATCGATGCTCACGGACCTCCAGATGCGGTGGATCTACGGATATATGTTGGCCTTCTGGGGCCCAGATCTATATTCATATCCACCGCCCCCCGCGGGGTCCCCAGGACGTCATTTCCCAGGCTTTGGAACATGACTACATCCCCGCCTCGCATTCGGTGCTGGCCCAAAGGGGGTCGGGGAATTTCTTCGTTGGGGTTGAGCTCGGCCTCGCGTCGGCGCGTGCGGCGTGGAGTTGCGCTCGCGTCTGACCGCGCCAGGGTTGGGCCCCGCCTCGCAGCCGGCCGCAACGCCTACGCGGTGCATCCTGCAGCGCGCATTGTTTTTTGTTTTTTTTGTCCGAGGGGTGGTCTGTTCGACCGGGCCGCGCGTTTACGTGGGCCCCCATGGGCCATGGGCGCCCCGACAGCGTGGCACCTTGGCTGCCCTGAGACGCCCGTGTTGAAGCGCAGCACGTGCCGTGTTCAAAACAAATCGACCGTGTGAACAGGCTGCGTGCTGGCTCGACGTGCTGGCCCACGTCTTGGGGAGCGTGTCGCGCCGGGCCCACGTTTCAGATCTACGTGCTGAGCTCCGTATCAACACGCTACGAGCTGCGTGTTGTGTGTCGGGGCGGCTAGGCCTGGCACCAATTTCCCGTGCAGCCGATCGGCGGCCCAGCAGCCATGGGGCATCCCGTGGGCGGCGGCGAGGGGAGCCCTCGCGCCGGCGGGGCGCAGAAGCCGCGCGTCGACTTCGCGCTGGCCGTGCCCGGCCCGTCGCCCCAGGACCCAAGGGAGGAAGAACAACCCCGATCCCCATGGACGCCCTTTTGGGCGCTTACTGAACGGCTCATGCCCTGCTCGAAGCTCTTCCTCGGGTGCCTCTGCTGGAGGGCTTCGCTTGACGGGGTCCTTGTTATGGGGGTCGCTCTCGCTTCTCGCTCGGTTCCTCGCGTCCCCGCTCAATGTGTTTGCCCTTGCTTGGCCCGCTTTTCTCTGAGGGCCCGCAGTCCTCCATTTAATCCGACTTTGAGTTGGAAGGGGAGGAGGAGGAGGAGGAGGAGGAGGAGGAGGAGGAGGAGGAGGAAGAGGGGAGGAGGAGGAGGAGGATGAGAATGAGGAGAAGGAGGAGGAGAAAGAGGAGGAGGAGGGAGGAGGGCGAGAAGGAGGAGGAGAGGAGGAGGAGGAGGAGGAGGAGGAGGGGGAGGGAGGAACGGAAAGAGGGAGGTGGGAGGAGGAGGTTGGGGAGGAGAAGGGAGGAGGAGAGAGGGGAGAGAGAGGAGAGAGGAGGAGGAGAAGGGTGGAGGAGGAGGGGAGGGTGAGGAAATGAGGAGGAGGAGGAGGAGGAGGAGGAGGAGGAGAGGAGGAGGGGAGGAGGAGGAGGAGGAGGAGGAGGGAGGAGGAGGAGGAGGAGGGAGGATGGTGAGGCGGAGACGGAGGGAGGAGTAGGAGGGAGGAGGAGGAGGAGGAGGGAGGAGGAGGGAGGAGGGAGGAGGGAGGAGTGATGAGGAGGGAGGAACAGGGAGGGAGGAGGAGGAGGAGGGAGGAGGAGGGGAGGAGGAGGAGGAAGGAGGAGGAGGAGGGAGGAGGAGGAGGAGGGAGGAGGCGGTGGCGGAGGCGGAGGCGGAGGCGGAGGCGGAGGAGGAGGAGGAGGAGGAGGAGGAGAGGAGAGGAGGAGGAGGAGCAGGAGGATGAGAAGTCGGAGGAGCAGGAGGAGGAGGAAGGAGGAGGAGGAGGAGGAGGAGGAGGAGGAGGAGGCCCCCTCCGAGGACGCCCAGACGGGCGGGGCCGGTCAGCCCCCGGAGCTGGCCGCGCCGCGGCTGCCGGCGGGCGCGGCCGATCCCGCGTGCCTCGCAGTTGGCCGCGCGGAGGCCCTGTGCGGCGCGGAGGCCGGCGCCGCGCCAGGGCTCCAGTTGCGCCGCGCAACAAACAAGGGGGTCGTCTGCGCCGACATGGGCGCGTAAGTTGCCCGCGTAGGGTCTCGCGCGAGTGCCCTCGTCTCCAATGCAGCGTGCCGCGCTGGCGGCCCGCGGAAGCCGCGGCGTAAGGTCGCCATGCCATGTCGCGCGAGGCCCGTTTTTGATCTTCGCTCAGCTGACAGCGGCCCGCCGTCGCCGCTGCCAGAGGTCGGCTGCGCGTAAGAGTCGGGCGTTGCGCAGTGGGTGGGCGATACATCGTTTGGTCAAACCCTGAGATCCTGGCGTTGCAGTTTTTCGCAACGGGCGTTTTCGCTTCGTTTCGGGTCCCAGGGGCCTCACATATCGATCAGGCTCCAAGAGTGGCGCAGAAAGATGGGGTCTAGGGCTCCCAGCGTGATTTTCTACGATGTTGCATTTTTTCGCAACGTCGGATCTCAGGGGAGTTGGTCGTTGCGTGGTGGGAGGGCGACACATCGGTGGTTCAAAGGTGGGGTCCTGAGGGACCGGGGTCCTGTGCCGCCGACCACGGGAATCCACCCTTGGATCCCTTCCCATCCTCAGGGCCCCATCCCTCAGGGCCGCATCTCTGAGCCACCGATCCGATGGAGGGGGGTGAGGAGGAGGAGGAGGAGGCGGAGGAGGAGGCGGAGGAGGAGGAGGAGGAGGAGGAGGAGGAGGAAGAGGAGGAGGAGGAGGAGGGGGAGGAGGATGAGGAGGAGGGAGGAGGTCGGGGAGGAAGAGGAGGAGGAGGAGGAGGGGGAGGAGGAGGAGGAGGAGGAGGAGGAGGAGGAGGAGGAGGAGGAGGAGGAGGTGCCCCCAAAGGCCCCCCTTGGGGCCCCATTGGGGCACGCCGGGCGCGCGTTTCTTCGCCCCCCCCCCCAGGCCCAAGGTATATGCCAGTCTTAAGTCGGGCCTGGCCCTCTACAGGAGGAATATTCAAAATTGTCAAAGAAATAGTATGGGGACGATTTTTCGATTTGTTCCTCGACTGTGTTTGAGTTTTGTTTGATATTGCAAAGGGCTTACGGCCGGTGTCGCCGACCCTGAGGTTGGGGATGAGGGCGCGGAGCATGGGAAGGAAGATGAAGAAGGGGGACAGGAGGAAGAGGCGGACGAGGAGGAGTAGGAACACAGGGGGGGAATGAATAGGAGGAGAGTAAGGCGAGCAGGGCCGCGTGGGGGGCACGAAGGAAGGGCAGGGGCGAGTAGAGCGTGGCGATCATGAGGAGGAGAAAGAGGGAGATAATGGCGAGGATGTTGACGATGTTGACGATGTTGACGACGACGCCGGTTGCCTCTCAGGACCATTCGGGGCGTCTTGGGGCCCTCCTGGGGCGACTTCCAGGCTTCGTTCGTTGTTTCGAAGCCAGGTTCGGCTTCTTAGGCATCTGGGGGGCCACGGAGGTGTGGTTAGATTTGGAGGGCGCTGGGGCCGGGACCTGGGCCAGGGCTGGGGCCAGAGCGGGCGGGGAGCTAGGGCCGGGGCCGGGGCCGAGGCTGGGACGGGGGCCGCGGAGCCAGGGCCGAGGCCGGGGCAAGGGCCGGGGCCAGGGCCGGGGCCGAGGCAGGGATGGATCCGGGGCCGGGGCCGGCGGGGCGGGAGCCGATACATATATATATATATATATATATATATATATGTATATATAATACATACATAAAAATTAAAGAAAAATTCTAACACGATCCGCTTGTAGGGGGGGGGCACGCCCGACTCAACGCCAGTCGTTGCAAGTGGGCATTGCGGGCTACCCAGATCCTAGTTTGGTCCCGCCGCCGTTCCCCCTTCACTCCTCTTCGGGGGGCGGGCGGCTGCCCAGTCAGCTTTCAGCGCACTCTTGCTGCATATTTCTGCCCGCTTCCTCCGACCGACGGGGAAACGCCCCACACCAGGTCGCGCGCTCCTTCGCCCCCCCAGCACCGCAACCCGCATAGTAGGGATGGGCAACCTTCCCAAAGGTACTCCAGATTTCGTAATAAAAGGGAGGGGGTCTGGACCCTCCAAGACAAGCCATTTCAGACCCCCCCCGTGGGAGAACCCTCCAAAACACCGTCCCCAGACCACCCCCAGGCCCTCCAAGATAGCCTGGAAGAGACCCCCCCGAAATGAGACCCCCCTCCCTTTATTACGAAATCTGGAGTACTCCTTGCATCCTTGCCCCTTCGGCCCATCCTCAGCGACTTTTGCTGGCCGACCTCGTTCGAAAAAGAAGTCGACATGGGTTCCCAAGGCTCTTGCATCCTTGCCGCGCATCCTCATGATGGGGGTTGACTGCAAGCCCCCTCCCTGGGAACAGCGCCCACAGGAGTGGTCCTCTGGTGTGCGGGCGCCTGTGGGGGGGTCCCCCGTCGGCACCAGCCTGCACAACACGACTTTTTGGCACCTCCCCCCCGCGCGGCCGCAGGAGGAAGAGGAGGAGGAGGAGGAGGAGGAGGAGGAGGAGGAGGAGGTGGAAAAGGAGGAGGAGGAGGCGGAGGACGAGTAGTAGGAGGATGCGGAGGAGCAGGGACAGGAGGAGGATGAGAAGGAGGATGCGGAGGAGGAGACGGAGGAGGAGGAGCACGAGGAGGAGAAAAAGGAGGAGGAGGAGGAGGAGGAGGAGGAGGAGGAGTGCCTCAGCGCGCCATGCTGTGCCATCTTCCGCTCGGGCTGCCAAGGCCCCCTTCTGAGGCGCCGCAGGCCCCGGAACCCGTCGCGCTGTGACAAAAACCCCGGCGGGAGGTTTGTTTCGTTTTTTTCTTCCTCCGGGGGCCCTATGTGGGCCTCGGGACCGTCAAAGCCTGTCCCGGGGAAGGGGTGCAAAGACCGTCCTGGGGAAGGGGTCGAGAAAATCACAGCGTCGGCGGTCCGGCAAGGGCCTTGCCAAGCATTTGAAGTGTTCCAAACAGGGCCTTGCCTTGGAGGATCGAAGGAGCTGTCACCTCTTCCTCGGCGGAAGGCGGCGGAAGTAAAGATTTGCCCCCAAGAGGTGAAAACATTTGTGTGTTTGGGTTTCCGAAATCGCCCATGTGGCTGGTCAGCAGACCGCTGTGTCTGACTGTCTGTCCCCCCCCCCGCACGGCCACGTCTAACAAGCCGCGTACCAAGCAGGTCGCTCCTTGTCTGTAGGGTTATTCTTGCGCGCAGCCGCCGGAGGCCTCGCCGTCGCCGCGCTCGCCGATCCAGCGCAGGCCCTCGGGTGGGGCGAAGGACGAGCAGAAGTCCGTTTCACAGCGATCCGGCACGCTCTCGTAGCTTTCTGGAGCGCTCCGAGAAGGCCGCGGCGCCCGAGACATCCCTGCAGAGCCGCCGGATGTCAGAGATTCTCGATTTATCCTCGTCCTGGCTTCGTATTAGGCCCTTGGGATGATGCTGAGATCCTTGCGTATCCCTATCTCCATGGTTGGCATCACCTTGTCTCAATGCCGATCTTCAGGGATCCCTCAGTTTGTGAGGGAGCATCCCTAAGATTGTCTTCGCCTTCAAGCTTGCCAGTCCTGGCGATAAAGGGGCAAGCTCGAGGCTGTTTGGGCGTGGTGGTGTTCCCGCGGCGGGCGCAGCTGTCTCCTCTCGGGCCCATGGGGCTCTCACAGGTCGACGCGGCTCGAAGAGTGCCGCAGAAGGATGGGTTCCAGGGTTCGGGCCGGACGAAAGGGCGGGATTTGGAAAAGGGGGGGTACGGAATTTGCTGCATGCAGCCGGCTTCGGCCCCACCGAGGGGCCCATCCATTCCTCGATACATAGCCACCTCTGGCGCCGGGAGGCACCGGGAAAATCAGCTACGTGAGCTGATTCTCAACCTCCCCCTTTGCTATCCCCCCCTTTCGCCCGGCCCGAAGGGTGCCAGTGCCAGTCGAGTGTTTTTGTTTCTGCGACGTGCATTTGTGTTCGCGCGACGTCGGGCCTTAGAGCAGGGGGATCAGGGGCGGCCTCGCCGACCCCTAGCAGTAAGTCGGGCATCTCCCTCTATGGAGGAGGATGAAGAAATAGTCTGGGGACGAGTTTTGGCTTATGTTTTTTTTTTTGTTTGTTTTGCATATTTTGTTTTTTTTTTGTGCGTTCGTCCAAAAGCCGCCTGTAGGGGGACATGCCCGACCTAACCCTAGCAGACCCTCCCCTTCTGTGACGTCCTCCCTGCCTCGCCCCAAGATTTGTGTAGGCGGTCAGAGGGGAGCTCAAAAGGCGAGAGTGGCGTCACGGAAGGGGATGGTTTGCTAGAAGGGGTTGGTTGGGCCGCGCCCGAGGGAGGTGGGGCGGCGGGGAGGGACGGCGGCGGCATTATATTTTTATGTAGATTCTGGCAAGAAGCGACTCGGGATGAAAAAGCGGTCCGGGGAAAGGGATCGAGACCTCTGGGGGTCGACGTTGTAAGCAAAATCGCGACGTCGAGGTTTCGCGGAGCCGCTGTTGTCTCAACGGGCCCAGCTCGAAGCCGCGGGCCCGTGTCTCGAGGCGGATCCAGCCGTGGCGGATGGAGAAGCCTCCAGGTTAGCCCCCCGATAGGAGAAGCAAGACGCGCCCGGAGGGCCGCCGTTGTGTCAATTTCGGAGGCTTGGAAATGAACACCAGCACCAAGACAGGGGGTGCGTCTGCCAGGGGAGGATGATTCTAGATCTTGGTGTTGGTGGTGAATTCGGCAGCCCGAGCATTGACACCATCACCGAGACCGGGACCGTCTTCCCTCGGTGAAGGCACGCTGCCGATTTTGGCGTTGTTGTCAACCTCTAGGCCTCCGAAACTGGTCCTCCACCGCGAGGCCTTCCCGGCGCATGTCGTCTGGCAGCGGCGACAGCCAGCCCGTGAGCGGCGCCGAGGCGTCCCAGGAGAGGCCATCCCCAGACTTATGATGTTCCAACCATCTTCAGCCTTGACCACCAGAGAGAGGCTCGAGCACAAAGAATGTACCGGAACTTGAAGGTTCTCAAGTGTCGGGCCCTGGGAGGCGATACTCGTTCGACACTGTTTTGATACTTGTCTGGGTGCGCGATTGTATTTCTGGGATGTGGTCCTTAGGTACGATGGGAGCTACCTAACCCCAGACCTCATTATCCAGACCTCCCCGCGTGGCTCGCAAGGCCTGCTGCCATTTTGTTCGGCCTCGGGGGGCCCTTGCTGGGCCTCGGGGCCGTCAGAGAACGATTCGACTCGGGATACGAAGCCGGTCGAGGGGGAAAGGGTCGAGACCTCTGCAGGGGGTCTCACACCCCTGACCTTCCAGGGGGCCACAAAGTAGCACTCCAGATCGCAGATCTATCTGGGCCGAGTCAAACCTCGACCGGAATTTGGAGGTAGAGGTCCTGGTGCTATGTTTTGGCCCTCCTGGAAGGTCAGGGGTGGTGAAGGCAACACATGTTCGGAGATCCGCTTCCCAGGACTCCATGTTCGGGGAGTACATCCGGCAGGTGACCCCCGACGTCGACGCCCTGTTCATGGGCCAGCCAGGTCGCAGGCGTCTGGGCGTGCTCCTCGAGAGTTCCGCGGTGAAGCTGCTGATCGGGCTCTCGGCCGTTGCCAGCTTCGTGGGCGTGGTCAAGGAGACCGACTCGCGCGCGACAGGCAGCCCCCTGCCTGACTGGTTGGCGATCATGGAGTACGTCCTCTTTACGGTCTTCTCCGTGGAGCTCGCAGTCCGCTTCTACGTCGAGAGGTGGGAGGCGCTGCGCAGCCTGTACACCATCGCCGACATCGTCGTCGTCTGCACGGCGGCCGCCGAGTACATTCTCGTGGGCAGCGGCGTGGACTCGGGGCTGTCGACGGTGAAGATGTTGAGACTGTCGAGGATGCTGAAGCTGGTGCGGGTGGTCTACCGGGTGCCCTTCTTCGTCGAGCTGAGGAAACTCATGTACATGATCAGCAGCTGCTTGAAGACCCTATTCTGGTCGTTCCTGGTGCTAGGGATCGTCATGACCATGTGGTCGATCGTAGCGGTGGAGCTTGTCCACCCCAGAGTCCTGGAGTTGGCGTCGCAAGGCCAGTGGTCTGACTGCGAGAGGTGCAGCAGGTCGTTCTCCAGCGTCTTCCACGCCAACATCACCTTCTTCCAGACGATCGTGGCCGGCGACAGCTGGGGCGTCATGGCCATCCCCGTCATCGAGGCCCACCCGTGGACCGCCTTCATATTCACCGGGGCCCTCCTGACGCTCGTGTTCGGCGTTCTCAACGTTATTGTGGCCGTGGTCGTCGACGCCTTCGCGGAGGCGCGAGCGAAGGACGTCTTCACACGGGCGCGGGAGCTCGAGTGGGAGGAGCGGGAGGAGAAGAAGGCGCTGTCCACCATCTTCAAGAAGATCGACAAGGACGGCAACGGCTCCCTGGACTTCGAGGAGCTGAAGGACGGGGCAAGGAAGGTCGAGCAGTTCAGCCACTGGCTCCGCGTGCTCGACATCGACGCCAGGGACCTGGAGGAGATGTTCTCCATGCTTGACCGCGACGGCTCTGGCGACATTGACACGCACGAGTTCGTGGAGTGGATGTACAGGATGAAGAACACCGACTCCAAGACTGTCTCCCAGTTCATCAAGCAGAAGCTCGCGAAGGTTGGAAGCGGCCGGGGGATCTGCGCGGGATATATCGGCGCCGAGAGAATCGGTGAACGGGGGGGTGGCGAGGGCAAATCCGCTCAAAATCCGTTCCCCGGTCCCTTTCATCCATGGCCGTCAATGGCGACGAGGGGGCCCCTTTCTTCTCCAATGTCTGCTGGCTGGAGAGGGTGCTGGGCCACCCCAGCCCCCCCCCAGCTCGGACGCGAAGGTGGTGGAGAGGGTTGACGGGCAGGAGAGCAGCTTCGAGACGAACCTGTCTGGCATCTCGCAGCTCCAGGCGGAGAGCCTGCGAAGGCTGGAGAGGGCGGAGAAGCGTGCGGAGGCGCAGGAGAGCGCCTTCGAGTCCCGCCTGTGCGAGGTCTCGAAGCTCCTGGCGGAGAGCCTGCAGCGGAGCGAGTCGATGCACAGGGGCATAGAGGAGGGCCTCGCCGAGGTTCGAAGACGAGCATTATGCATAACCACGCAGACTGTTGGAGGTCCGCTCGTATTCCTTGGATCGGCGCTGGCCCACCAGACGGGGGGTCCAGCGCCGATCCAATACATCCGCGCGGACGCCCGAAAGTTCCTGTTGATGCCGACTTGGCTTCTTCTCAAGTTGAACAGGGCAAAACAACGGGCCCGACTGCGCGGACTTTCGCGCGCAAGCTGCCCGCGTAAGGTCGCGCGCAGGCGTCCTCGTCTGCAGTGTAGCCTGCCGCGCTGGCGGCCCGCGTAAGCCGCGGGGCGCAAGGTCGCTGTGTGCCGTCACGCTTCATTCCCAGACCCCCGACGTCGTGATTTTTTCACACCGTCGATCTCCAGAGGTCTCGACCCCTTCCCCTGGACCGGTCTTTCAACCCGAGTGGTTTTTGACGCTCCCGAGGCCCGGCAAGGGCCCCCAGAGGCCGTCGATGGCGACACACACCTCCCGCCGCGATGTTTGTGCCAGCGCGAGGGGGTCTGGGCTCTCAGGCCCCTCTCTCTGCGCCGCCCAGGTGCGGCGGCAGGTGCACGACTCCCTGAGCACCGCGCTCTCCCCGCGGCCCCTGGCCATCAGGGGCAACGATACGCAGGGGGGGATAGGCACAGGGGGGCATGCATCGACCCCCCATCGCCCATTGATCGCCGATAGGGGCCCGATAGCCCCCACGTGCCCAGCAACGCGTGCGGATTCACCGTCGGGGGGCCTATCGCCGATCTTTCGGCAATGCATCGCCGATCTTCCAGGTCGATGCCTCCCCCCCTCTCCCTATATCCCCCCCCATCGTTGCCCCTCAGGCCGTCCTGCGGCCAGAGGCCCTCGGCCACCCCGCGGAGCCCTCGGTGCCGCCTGCGATCCGCTTCGATGCCATTTCACTCGCGGGCTGGGCTCCACCAGCATCGGCCCTGGATTCCGATCCGATTCGATCCACCAGCATCGGCCCTGGATTCCGATCCGATTCGATCCACTGGAATCGGCCCTGGCACACCGAAGCCGCGCGTGGCGGTCTGGCTTCGTCCGATGTTCGCTTCGGGACGCCTCGCTGGCGATCCGATCCGTTTCCGATCCGACCCGATCCCTCGAGTCGATCCAGCTCAGGCCTGGGAGCCTCCTGCTCCTCCTCCTCCTCCTCTTCCTCCTCCTCGTCCTCTCCCTCCTCCTCCTCCTCCTCCTGCTCCTCCTCCTCCTCCTCCTCCTCCTCCTCCTCCTCCTCCTCCTCCTCCTCCTCCTCCTCCCTCCTCCTCATCCTCTCCCCCCCTCCTCCCCCCTCGGTGCCCCCGTCCCGCGGCGCGGCGGCGGCCCTCCTGCTGCACGGCGGCGCCGCGCCCCCGCCCGCCTGCCACGGCAGCCCGCCGGCGCCCCCCGTCGCGGAGGGCGGCCGCGGGCCGGCGCCGCCACGGGAGGCCGCGCAGCAGCTCAGACCCAGAGATCGGGTCGGGCGAAACCCAGACCTCCTCGCGTCGTGAAAAAATCACGACGGAGGGTTTTCGCTATTTTCGGCCTCCGGGGGCCCTTCCTGGGCCTCGGGACCGTCAAAAAACGACTCAGGACGAAAAAGCGGTCCCGGGGAAAGGGTCCAGACCTTTGGGGGTCGACGTCGTGAAAAAATCACGACGTCGGGGGTCGGGCGAAAGGAGGGGATTGGGAAAGGGGGGGTTACGAAATTTGCTGCATGCAGCTGGTTTCGGCCTCACCGAGGGGCCCATTCCTCGATGCATGGCCGCCTCCGGCGCCGGGGGGCGCCAGGAAAAGCAGCTACGTGGGCTGATTCTCGAACCCCCCCTTTGCTATCCCCCCCTGTCGCCCGACCCGACAGACCCAGAGATCCGGCGTATTGAAAAAATCAAGACGGAGGTTTTGCGCCAAGTTCGGCCCCGAGGGGCCCTCGCTGGGCCTCGGGACCGTCAAAAACCAGCTCAGGATGGACAACCGGTCCTGGGGGATGGGTCGAGGCTTCTGGGGACAGCGCATTGGCAAGAATCACGACGTCGGATCTCTGGGGAGGAGGAAAGGGTACCCATACCGCTATCCGTCGCCCGCTGGGAGGCCTCCTGGGAGGCCCTCGTCGGCACCGCTTGATTCGTTTCGAGATTCTGGTCAGAACGCACCCCGGGAGAGGTCCGGGGAGCAGCGATATCGGTTTCGTTCGGTTTCTCCAGCAGCAGCCCGGGGGGGGGACTTGGCATCGCCCGCTCAAAACGTCCCAGGATGCACCGAAGATTCGCTTAGATGGCCTCAAGATGGCACACAACGGCCCCATAAGCGCCCAAGATCGAAGAAGAAACCCGCCATCAGTATACACTTTTCGCGCTCCGCGCAGATTTCTTGGATCCGCGCTGGGCCTCCCAGGCGGCGCTTCCGGCGCCGCCCCTGGCGCGTTCCGCGCGCCAGGGAGTGGGTTCAGCGCAGATCCAAGAAACACGCGCGGAGTGCGAAAAGTTTATTCTTATGGCGTTCTTTATTTCTTCTACAAGAGGCCCCCAAAGTAGAAAAAGACGTTGGGGTCTGCATTCCATTGGAGTGTAAGCAGTGAAGGTAAGGATATACAGTGAGAGCCAACTCCGTACCCGGTGGCATTTTACGCTCCCCCTCGGAGCGCACCATCAATCTCGACGGGAGGGGAACGATGCAGGACTCCAGGGGCACAGCAATCTGTAAAGGATCGGTCGCCGGGTGATCCAGCCACCGTACACTGCCGCATTAGTTCATGAGATGGGTGTGCTTAAGTGCCGGATTCGTGTTTCCATGATCAACTCAGTACCAAGTTGAACTGGGCAGAGGTCAGCTGAGGAACACAGCTTAAAGCAGGGAGGGCAGATGTCAGCCCTGAGCGCCAGGCCGATGGGGGTTGATCCTCTTTCGGCGCAGAAATATTATCGAGGAGCATATTTGGCGCATCTTGCGGACAAAATACTCGCATGAAGCAAAAACAAGCAAGGGGAATGGACGACAGCGCATTTTAGTTCGCAGCGAGGGCCATCGAGGAGCATATCTGGCTCATCTTGAAAGCAGCTCGCGTACAAATTCGTAACATAGAGAATGGAAGTCCGAACATTTTTTTTCGCAGCGAGGCCTATCGAAGAGAATATTGGTTCATCTTGCGAAGAAAATATGCGCAAGAGGCCGAACAAGTCACGGGGAATAGACGTCGGAGCATTTTTTTCGCAGCGAGGGTCATCGAGGAGCAGATTTGGCCCATCTTGCAAACATATTCGCGTACGAAGCCGAAAATGGCACGGGGATTTGACGTTCTTTCTTTTTGTCGCAGCGAGGGCCATCAACGAGCATATTTGGCCCATGTTGCGAAAAACATGTGCGCCCGAAGATGAACGTCCGAGGTGATCGTTTCCTTATTCATTGCTTTGCCGATGTGCGTGGAACCTCCACCTTCCATCCCCCCCCCGTTGAATAGATCTTGGCCAGTTTGGGCGCCTGCTTCGAGCAGGTGGAGCCTCCCCCCTCCCAAAGGACGCGCCGCCGCAAGCAGTCGCATCAAGAAGAGGTCTGGAGCCAGACCCCCCCCCCCGGGTGGAGTAGATCTTAGCTAGTCTTGGCGCCTGTTTCGAGCAGGTGCAGTCCCCCCCCAAAGGCCGCACTGCCGCAAGCAGTCGGATCAAGCAGAGCTCCGGAGCCAGACCCCCCCTTCCCTCGCCCCAGCCCTTTCCGCCCAAGCCGAAACGACGAACAAGACAATGCCGACTCGGACGTCCGAGCGAGCGGGAAGGAGGAGGAGGAGGAGGAGGAGGGCAAGTGTGAACCCAAGGGCTCTGGAGGTGGAGGAGGAGGAGGCGGAGGAGGAGGAGGAGGAGGAGGAGGAGGAGGAGGAGGAGGAGGAGGAGGAGGAGGAGGAGGAGGGGAGGGGGGGGGGGGGGGGAGGGGGGGGAGGAGGAGAGGAGGAGGAGGAGGAGGAGGAGGAGGAGGACGACGAGGAGGAGGACGACGAGGAGGAGGAGGACGAGGAGGAGGAGGAGGAGGAGGAGGAGGAGGAGGAGGAGGAGGAGAGGGAGGAGGAGCACCAGTGTAAACCCAAGAGTCACCAACGATGTTGGAATAACCCCTCCCGCCAAGCCCCCTCTTCGTAGGCTTCTACAGCGAGCCACTTCCGCTGGGGGAACTGGAAGACAGCAGTTTGAAGACCCTGCAGCGGCGTGACAACACAGTGTTCTCGGGATTCCAACGCCACGGATCAAGCTGACTGTTGCGTCTTGGCGATCATGAATCGTGCCAGAACGCCGTTCCTGGGACTTTGACGCCGCGAATCAACATCTCTGTTGCACCCTCATAATCTTAAATCCGTCCAAAAATACGATTCCTGGAACGCTGATCACGGGAATCCGTGAAGCCCTTGCCAATCTTAAAATCGAATATGCGCGGCCCTACTGCGAGAACCACATTTTGAAAATCAACCGCCCTCAATCCGTGAAGCTCTGGTAATTTATGTTAAACGAATGGGCGCGGCGCGAAGGCGAGAGCCGTATTTTGAAAACCATTCGCCGTGACTCAGTGCAATTCTTGCACATGTTTAAAACACATGTGCGTGGCGCTAAGGCGATAGCCACATTTTGAAAACGACCCGCCCTCCATTTGCAAAACAGTTGTCGCATTTTGAGCTTCAGGGTCAGACGTGGTGAGGAAGTCACAGGCGAATCGCCCGGCCCGCCCTGATATATGGCCTCGGGGTGCGACGGAGAAGTTCTTTGTAAGGACAAGGGATGGAGGAGGAGGAGGAAGAGGAGGAGGAGGAAGAGGAGGAGGAGGAAGAGGAGGAGGAGGAAGAGGAGGAGGAGGAAGAGGAGGAGGTGGAGGAGGAGGGCAGAGGCCGCGCGGCCGCGCGACGCGGGGTGAGCGATGACGAGCAGAGGCCACGCGGCCGCAGCCCGGAGCGGCGGCAGGCCGCGGCGGCCGCGCGGGCGCCAGGGGAGCGGCGGCCCCGCCCGGCGGCGCGGCGGGCGGAGCGGGCCCCGGGAGGGGGCTGCAGCAGCTGTAGGCGCGGCGGGCGCCGCGGTGCCGAGGCCTCCCAGATGGGGTCCGAGTGGACGGGGTCGGAGGATCGCGCTGTGACAAAAATCGCGACGGCGGGTTTTTCTCAACTTTCGGCCTCTCGGGGCCCTCGCCGAGCCTCGGGAGCGTCAAACAACGATTCGGGATGCAGAGCCGGTCCCGGGGAAGGGGTCGAGGCCTGTGGGGGTCGACTCTCGGCCTCCTAGATGGGGTCGGCGTAGATGGGGTCGGCAATGTATCGGCGATGCGGCTCGATGTGGACCCCGATCTGCTTCATGTCGACGTCGCCGATGCCACCGCCCACGTCGACGAAGCAACGCCAGTGCATCCTCCTATGCATCGCCGATGCATCACTGATGTGTCGGCAATGCGGCGCGATCCTGTGACCGCGTCTACTCCGACCCCATCCAGGGGGCTTCCACCAGGAGGGGAACACACACGCAGGCGCAACGAATCGTCGACTCCAAGGAAGGTGTGTAGGAACATGTGGGAATCGGGGGGAAGACGCAAACCCAGAATACATACACATATCTATCTATATATAGATAGATAGATAGATAGATAGATAGATAGATAGATAGATAGATTTGTGTATATATATACACGTGTATATATATGTATATATATATGTATATATGTATATCTGTATTGGAAGATGTGAGGAATCCTAAGAGTTGTGTCTGCTTGTTGGTCTGTCCCTGGGCCCCCGAGCCCAGGCAGCCCTGGGCGCGGCCGGCGCCGCGGCGGCGGGCCGAGGCCCGGCCCCTCCGCGTGGGGCGCAGCCTGCCGGCGCTGCTCGGGCCGGCGGGCGCCGCCGCGGCCCCGTCGGGGGAGCCGCGCGGCCGGGGCCCCGCGCGCGGGGGCGGCAGACCACGACGGGAGGCTTGTCGCAGTCTTCGTGGCGCGAGCATGCTCGAGCAGGGGCGCGGCGTCCTGGCTCGCTTAACTATGGCCCCGCCGAGCACTGTTCTCTGAGAGCCTTTTATGGTGGCTCCCGCGGAGTGTCCTCGGAGAGCAGTTCTGGCGGGGAGGCCGTGTTCTTTGAGCCCATCGGGTTTATGTTCTAAGAACCGCGTTTTTGTGCTTAGAGAACTGTTGGGTTCTAAGAACATGTCGTGGCAGGACTATAGGAATGCCAGGACGGTCGGTCCCTGCTCAATATGTGCGTATGGGTTGCGCGAGTGCTCGTCACACGAGGCTGGCCTCCCGGTCTGGGGGGGCCGTGTTCTCAGACCCCTCCGCGTTGTTAACAATTCACGACGGGAGGTTTCTAGTTATTTTTGGCACCCGGGGGCCCTTGCCGGGCCTCGGGAGCGTCAGATGAAACAACTCCGGATTGCAGGCCTGACCCCTTCCCCGGGAGGCTTTTGGGGGTCGACGTTGTAAAAGACTCCGACGTCGGGGGTCTGGGAAGGAGGCCCCAGGAGGGGGGCGCAGCAGCTGTAGGCGCGGCGGGCGTGGTGGCAATCAGACCTGGATCGCCGCGGGGATTGCTAAGAGGATGGGGCCGACTCAAACATCTACGGGTCTTTGAATTTCCTCCTCCTCCTCTTCCTCCTCCTCCTCCTGCTCCCCCTCCTCCACCTGCTCCTCCGCATTCTCTGGCTCATTCTCCTCCTCCTACTCGCGGTCGTTATCGTACTTGTCGTCGTCGTCGTCGCGGCGGAAGTGATCTTCCATCTAAGCTTGGGCGGGCCGGATAACGTAGGGGGTTCTCTCTCCCAGGGAGAAACCCATTCTGGGATACCCTGCACGCGAGAGGATTTGTCTGCATCTTCCCATGGATATTGCATTCGGATCAGTGGTCGTGGTTGTAGTCGTGGTTGTAGTTGCGTGTGCTATCGTGAACATAGTCGTGATTGTAGTCGTGATCGTAGTCATAACATCATTCGTGGTGTCGTAGTCGTAATCGTAGTGGTGGTTGTAATCGTACTCGTACTCGTAATACTCGTCGTGCCATGGTCGCATTCGTAGTCGTAGTCGTCGTCGTGGTCGTCGTTGTCGCGCGGCGGGTGCCGCGTAGTCGGAGGTTGGGGGGTGAGATCGAAGTGGAACGGAGAGACCCCCTACCGGGAAATCGATGTCGGTTTCGTGTTCGTGCCGTGCGTGCGGGCGAGGAGAAGCTGCGTGGGCGGGAGAGAGGAAATTATCCTGTGGCTGGGCCGCGGCGGTGTCCGCCGGTGTCCCGATGGTGTCCCGCTGGTGTCCCGCCGGTGTTTCGTGGCTGTCCCGTGGTGTCCCGTGGTGAGATCGACAGTGAGATCGATAGTGAGATCGATAGTGAGATCGAGAATGAGAGTGAGATCGATAGTGAGATCTATAGTGAGAGATCGATAGTGAGATCTATAGTGAGATCGATCGTGATATCGATAGTGAAATCTATAGTGAGATCGATGATGAGATCGATCGAGTGGGATCGATAGCGAGATCGATAGTGGAATCGATATTGATATGAATAGTGAGATCGAAAGCGAGATCGATAGTGAGATCGATAGCGAGATCGATAGTGACTCCACTGTTGCCCATTGCTGGCTCCCTCCCCCCCAACCTCCTTATCACACGCAGGGTGGTCGTATAGGTAATAATTATTTCCCGCTGTTGGTGGGGGCCCCAGTCCGTCACTAAGGGCGTCGATTTGATGATTCGCTTCCATTGTTTGGGTGGGGGGGTCTAAAGACCCTTGCCGGTGAAGTTGATGCTCATGTGGGTGTTATTTGGCCTGATGTAGCTGACGAGTGGGTTACAAGTGCCCCAGGCCGCTTGCGGGAGGCAGAGATGTGGGCTATCGTGGGCAGAGCTGCCAAGAAACACCTGCAAGCCACTCGGGGCACCCGTGACCCACAAGTCGTGCGAGGTGAGGCCAGATATAACCTGCATTCGCGGCGTGCGCACGCAACCCCTCGGGCGAAGAGAACTATACACATGCACCGATCCTGGCAAGGCCCATTTTTGACCCAGGATCGGTGCATATGCCTTCCTGGCCAAGGTAGGAGGGCGTATGCACCGATCCTGGGCTCAGGGTGGGCCTGGCCAGAATCGGTGCATGTGCATAGTTCTTTTCCCTCTATCTTCGCTTGGCAACCCGAGCGGTGATCCAGGGAGGCGGGCGAGTTTAGGGCACGGCGGCTGGCCTCCGGGGGGATGCTCCCCGCCGCCGCGGCCGCGGCTGAGCGCGCTCTCCGCCCTCCTCCTCCTCCTCCTCCTCCTCCTCCTCCTCCTCCTCCTCCTCCTCCTCCTCCTCCTCCTCCTCCTCCTCCCTCCTCCCTCCTCCTCCTCCTCCTCCTACCTCCTCCCCTCCTCTCCTCCTCCTCCTCCTCCTCCTCCTCCTCCTCCTCCTCCTCCTCCTCCTCGTGAGGCGTCCACCAGTTTTTTTTTGAGCGGGCCATGCCGCGCACCCCCTCCCGTGGGAGCAGGCGGCATCCTGCACTCCAGAGGCTCCGCCGCTCGGCCGGGGGGGGGGGGTGAACGGCCTGGCCTCCAAGTTCTCGGCGCCTCTGTGTCGGGACCTAGCTCCCGAAGGGCGGTGTGCTGCCACGATTCGCCGATGCCGCTGTCCGAGTCCGATCCCCTCGCTGCCGTTTGCCGCGTGGGCTCTGCCTCGGCGTGCTGCGGACTGGGGCAGGAGCCTCTCCTTGCAGCTTGTTTGTTCGATTTTGTTTTTTTTTTTTGTTTTTGGGTGGTCTTACCCTGCATAGGCCAGACGACCAGCCGAGATGCTTCTCGCTCTCACATGCGTCAAGCTCGGCCCCAGGGGGGGGGCCAAAGGGCCACACCCCCCTCACGGGGCACGCGACGTAAGGGGTAGTCCCCCCTACCCCTCTGCCAGGAGCCCTTCCCCCCCCCCTCCCCCAGGAAGCTCCAGGAGCCCCGAATGCGGCACACGAAGGTGGCCCAAGACAGCCCCGAACGATTGGGATGGAGCCCAATGGCCCAGTGTGGCTTAAGGGCCCAGGGGGCCACCTAAGGGCCGATGACGGGACCCCAGGATGGGCCCACGGGGCCCCACAAAAGCTCCGAGAGGGCCGTGCGAGAGCCCCGCAGTGAATAATGATGGTGGTGGTGATGATAATGATGATGACGATGATGATGGTGACGATGTTGATGATGATGATGATGCTGATGATGATGATGATGATGATGATGATGATGATGATGATGATGATGGTAGTGGTGGTGATGATGATGACGATGGCGATGCTGATGTTGATCATGCTGGTAATGGGTGATTCGCATGATGGCAATGCTCATGATAACGCCGATGATGATGGCGATGATGATGTTGATCATGATGGCAATGCCGATGATGATGATGATGATGGTGATGGTGATACTGGTGATGACGGTGATGACGTTGATGATGTTGTTGATGATGGTGATGCTGATTCAGTTGATGATTCAGGTGATGATAATGCTGATGGTTAGGCTGAGGCTGAGGTTGATGCTGACGATGCTGATATTGGTTGTGATGGTGATGCCTATGATGGTGAGGATGCTGATGATGATAGTGTTCAGGGTGATGCTGCTGATGACGGTGGTCTTGGCGATGTTGATGATACCGATGATGATGAGCATGACGATAATGATGACGATGCTGATGATGCTGATGCTGATGATGACGACTATGATGATGATGATGATGCTGATGATGCTGATGGTGATGATGATGATGATGATGGTGATGATGATGATGATGATGATGATGATGGTGAGCGCGACTACATCGATCATGATAGTGATGCCCTTGGTGATGCCGTTGTTGATCAGAACGGTGATGCTGATTGTGGTGATGACGGCGATGGTCACGATGATGAGGAGGTGGAGGTGGAAGAGGAGGTGGAGAACAGGAGGGCGAGCAGCGTTGCTTCCTCCAGCAGCACGGTCTTGCACTGGGAGTCCCCCGCGGCTGCATGAGCCGCCTTCCCCTTTGCTCCCTCAATGTTAGACGTTTCGCGTATCCCCACCATCGCTGCTGCCTGCCGCCTGACCGCGGCCTCGCGCGCGCCCGCCGTTAGTCGCGGCCGCAGCCCACCCGCGACCGCCCGCCGCTGGCGCTTCCACCTGCGGCTGTATAAAAAAAAGTATCCCCACCAGCCCCGACAGACACCCTGGGCTGCTGACGCACTACTTGCACGGAGTCAGATCCCCACTGCCTTGGGCTCGTCGACCGACGCGATCCTTGACTGGGGGTGTGCGACGCGCCATTTTGGCTGCGTCCTCCCTGCTTCCTGGGTGGCTGTTTCAGACTCCCTGGGCTGCAGCTTGCACCGCCGCCTGATCCGCGGCCCCCGCGCGCGCCCGGCGAATTCGTCACGGCCGCAGCCCGACCGTGACCCGCCGCCGCTGGCGCTTCCGCCTGCGGCGGTAAAAAAACAATATCCCCACCAGCCGCCAGTCCACGTGCGTCCTCCTGGGAGTGAGGTGCACTTTCACTGCGTCCGCCCACGGTATCCGTGGGCTCCGCTTGTGGGGCTCGGCTGCAATAGCCCTCCCCACTGCTCTGGGCCTCCATGCTTACAGGCCAGCTCGCTCGCGTGGTAAGGCTACGGGCTGCAGCACTACCCAGCACGAGGGTGCCGGCTAGCGACAGTCGCCCTTCACCGTGCCTGGGGCACGGCTGACGCCTGTCGGCGTGATCAGTGAGTCTCAGTGAGCTTGTCGCCCCGCAGTTTGGATGCACCGGGTCATCTCCTGGAGTGAGGATATATAGCAGCGGGCCACGGCGCGCCATTTTGGCACAGACTGTGGTAGCAGGGTTGGGACCTGAGCAAGGCACGCTCGTCAGTCAGTGTACCTAATGGTTGTTCTACCGTGCGTGTCAGTTGTCCGCCCCTGGCACCTTCCATCTCTTGTCGACGGAGTTCTTCATTTGCGTTCTTGTGGTAATCGACCAGCACCGGGTGCTCCGTGAGTGAGGGTTCCTTCTGCCTGTCTTGTCGCCTCTCGCTCCGTTCGCTTTTCCTGTAGGTGGTTTTCCTGCTGCCTACAGCTGCTTTGGCGTCGCGGCTGCATGGGTACAGGGCCCGTGCGTGCTGTGTTTGGCAAGTGGTCGCTGCTTGCGGGCGCCGTTTGGGCGGCTCCTCGCTTGCTCACGCTTCCGTCCGCCGCTCCCGCCGCCTTCGGCTGGTCTGGCCTCTGCTACTGCACCTGTGCAGGCTGTGCGTGCCTCGCGGCCGGCTGCTTGTGTCTGTTTCTTTCCGGGTTGGCGCCGACAGGGCGACTCTTCGCTGGCTTGCATGTGCGCTCCGCGCGTTCTCGCGCTAATTATCTTGCGCTGTGCCCCAGCCTCGGTCTTCACGCCCTCTGGACTTTTCTTTGCGGGCCGCTAATCAAATTACCCTGCGACGTACCCAACCCACGCGCATCAAATGGCAAGAGGAGTATGCCAACATTAGCAGGAACAGCGACAGTGTAGACGCGGCGATTTGCTGTGCAAGCTACATGGGATGCGCATGCGTTGCACGATTCACAGGACGACGATCGAAAGAACGAGGCTTGAGGCCCCAGGATCGAAGAAGAACGGGTACGGGAACGAGGGGTAGGAGAGGGATGGAATGGAGGGCGGGGGGGGGGGGCGAAAGGCCATCGCGGAAGCAGCAGCATGCATGGAGAAGGTGAGGCGGGGAATAGGACGACGATGAAAGTGGCGGGAGGAGACAGAAGACTGCCGCGTTTTTCAAGCGCGAGCTAAACCCGCAGCGCTGCCTGCGCCATGTCGTCGCAGAGTTCCACATGATAAAACTTGTTTAGAGTGCAAGGAACGAGCGAGGCGTAGCTCGCCCGCAAGCTTCTCCGCCTCCTTCCCGCACATTTCAGCGCGGGGGCTGAACGCTCGCGGGCGCGCCGCCAGGTCTGCGGGCGGCCCGCGGGAAAGAAACTCGAGGCCGGGGTCGCGTATCATCAATCGGTTGTCCATCGTCCAAAGGTGCACTGGCGACGTACTGGTTGAACGCGGAGCGAACAGCATCACGCGCGTGCCTGAACGCCACGCAGGTACAGTGCACGCGCGATTGGGACTTCAGGTCGATCACGCGCGTCTCCACCAGGCTTGGCAACGCCGCGCGACTGAGGATCTCACTGCGGTCTGCCATGCTGCTGTCCGCGAATGCAATGCGCTGCCTGCAAGTAAGGCGGCGGCGTCCACTTGTCTCAGAAGATGTTCCCGCGGGCCCGAAGGGCGACCGCCAGCTCGAGCCGCGGCGCCGGCAGGCCAGATAAGGATCATGCAACAGCAAAGACGATGACAGAGCAACGAGGTATCGGCGAGTGCATGACCGGCCTCCGTTTCCTGCACTTCTTTCCTGTAGTTCCCCTAGCTCATCGAGCTCAGCAGATGTTTCTGCGGGTCCGAAGGACGACCGCCAGCTCGAGTCGCAGCGCCACGTGGCACGAACCGCAGAGCAAGGGCACGCGAGCATTGCTCGTGGTCAGAATCTGAGTCCCCGTGGTGCCTCACTCCGCTGGCCACCCACCAGCAGCCCTCGAAAGTGGCGACAGTTTCACAGATCGCAGCCGCCCAGGGGTGGCGAGGTCTAATCTGAGTCCCCGTGGTGCCTCACTCCGCTGGACCCACCAGCAGCCTCGAAAGTGGCGACAGTTTCACACAGGGATGGCGAGGTCTAATCTGAGTCCCCGTGGTGCGCTCCGCTCCGATCGCAGCCCTCCAGAGATGGCGAGGTCTAATCTGAGTCCCCGTGGTGCCTCACTCCGCTGGACCCACCAGCAGCCCTCGAAAGTGGCGACAGTTTCACAGATCGCAGCCCCCCAGAGATGGCGAGGTCTAATCTGAGTCCCCGTGGTGCCTCACTCCGCTGGACCCACCAGCAGCCCTCGAAAGTGGCGACAGTTTCACAGATCGCAGCCCCCCCCAGAGATGGCGAGGTCTAATCTGAGTCCCCGTGGTGCCTCACTCCGCTGGACCCACCAGCAGCCCTCGAAAGTGGCGACAGTTTCACAGATCGCAGCCCCCCCCCCAGGGATGTTGAGGTCGAATCTGAGTCCCCGTGGTGCCTCACTCCGCTGGACCCACCAGCAACCCTCGAAAGTGGTGACAGTTCCGCATATCGCAGCCCGCCAGGGATGACGTGAAAGGCAAGGGAAGAGAAGAGGAGGAGCGAAGAGAGGAGGAGAAGGCAAGCAAGAGAGGAGAGGAGGAGGGAAGAGAGGGGGGGCGGGAGGAGGAGAACGGAGACCGCAGTGCTCTATTCAAAACGAGTACCCAACGCAGGAGGGTTGGGAAAAAGTATCCCCACCAGCCCATCCAGAAACGATGCCCAGGCGAATGGAGGTGATCAGGGAAGTGAGGGAACATACAGAGTAACACAGGGCCGGGGAACCCGTCTTACCGAAGGGGAACCCCTCCCCGAAAGGGGAAGGAGGGAAGATGGAAGAGGAAACTCCCTAAACCACCTCCGCCCAGAGGGCTGGTGGGATCCACGCGGCGTCCTCGGACTCGGCCTCGTTGCCTCCCGTGCCGCCCGCGGCGGCACCCCGCGGGCGCCCAGTGCGCCTTGGTTGCCGCCCGTGCTGCCCGTGGGCGCCTCTTGTGCGCCCCTTGGCTGTGGGCTTATACGACCCAGCTTTCGCCACGCAGGTCACACCGCATAGCTGGCACCACATGGCTTATGCCGCATAGCGTACACACCGTAGCCTTGCTCATACGGCTGGCACCCGATAGCTCCCGCCTCCAGCTCACACACACAGCATCGCTTTCGAGTAACAGCTGCACAGCATATCTCACACCTCACAGCACTGCAAGTACCGCTCGCACCACGCAGCTCACGGGACACGATTTCCGACACATATATTACACCGCATCGTCTTCACTTCCACAGCCTGCGCCACACAGCTCGTAGAACACAGCATCCACAACACAGCGCAAACCGTGCAGCTGCCACCCCGGTAGTGCCACAACACACCGCACACCGTGCAGCTGCCACCCCCGGTAGTGCAATAACAACGCAGTGGCTTGGGGGCCACGCGGGCCACCGTGGCGTTTTTGTGCTGACCAGGGGCCGGCGGGTGGGGTGCCGGCGCCGGCCCTGGATGGGCCCCGAGCGCGCGGAGGGCGTGCGTTTTTTTTTTTCATCGGGAGCGGTGTTGGCGTGGTGATCAAGGTCGGGGGCGGAAAAGAGGGGGGGGATGACTAGGGAGGGGTGGATATCATGGCGGGGGCCATGATATTTCCCCAGATTTCATGGCGCCTCTTCTTATTTCATTACGTCCCTGGCCCCCCCGCTGGGCCGCGCACGTGCCGCCGGTCATGATTTGCACCCCCCCCCATCTTGGACACCCGCCTCTTGGCCGCTCCCGACAAAGGGCCCTCCCAGAAGGGGAAGAAGGGGGTGTACAGAACCCCCAGCAGTGACACGTCGATTCGTGAATTGTCCGCTTTCGGTTCTCGAGAGGGTGCCGTGGCCATTGTTTTCCAGGCTTGCGCCCGCCAGGTTTGGGCGTGGTGATCACAGGGCCCTCCCCGAAAGGGGAATCGCAGGCCCAGAGAGTGACACCAAGAGCAATCTCGGCGGTGTGCCTCCACCGAGGGAAGGCGATCCCGATCTCGGCGATGGTGGTAATAGTCTGGCCTCCAATGTGGCCGAGGTATTACCACCAACACCGAAATCTAGGATCATCTTCCCCCTTTGGAGGCAAGCCCCCCGTGTTGGTGTTGGTGCCCATTTCCAGGCCTCCAAAGGGGGGGGGCTGGAAGCGGACGCGCTCGAGAGCACCTCCGCCCAGAGAGCCCGTGGACGCTCTGCTGACCTTGCGTAGCTTCCGCCTGCTTGACAGGCCCCGGGGCCGGCACCGCTCGGACGCCTGCACTTTTTTTTGCTCGGCAGGGGGCTATCGAGGAGCGCGTTGGGTCGCTCTGCGGACAAAAAAACACGCACGAGACCGAGCGCTGGCCGATGGCCGAGAAGCGGAACGAGACGAGACCCGCTGGCCGATGGCCGAGAACCGCTTGCCGATGGCCGCCCGCTGAAAAACACACGCACGAGACCGGAGCAGGCACGATGGCGTTCGTATCCCAAGGGGGCGCTCCCCGTTGTGAAGCGCACCGGCTGCGGCGGCTCGTGTGGGGCGGGCACTGGGGACGGCAGGGTGTGCTGCAGCATCGTTGAGGCATCCTGCGCTTGCTCTGGTCCACCTCCTCGTTCTCCTCGGCTACACTTGTGGACGACGATCAATGGAGAGGACGCGTGCTGCCAAATGATGCCCAGATGTCTAAAACATGTTTCAAACATGCTTGACACATCCAAAAACATGGTTGAATTATGCTTGAACATATTTTACACATGTTAAAGACATGTTTAATTCAATGATAGGGTTGTTAGATTGTCCATTGTCATGGCATCCATAAGGCTACACATAATAGTGTCCCTTCGCCTGAGGGACTTTGAATGCAGGCCCGCGAGGGTCCCTCCCCAGCTCTGGCCTGCGTGCTTGGAGTTGTCCACCCGCGGCTCCCTGAAGGTCACTCTTTTCGAGGGCCACTCTTGCGTGTAGTCGATCTCCTCCTTCCACTCTGCGTTCCATGCGCTTGATGCGTTTGATGCTCCCCTTCACGTGTCGGCGTTCCATGGGCGCGATGGGTTTGCTTCCCCTGCTGCCGCACATGGCGCCTGTAGAAGTGGTGATGCTTTTTTTACAACACCCGCAGATGTGCATGGCCCTGAGAGTTTCCACGAGAGTGGTGGCTTGCATTGCGGCCTGCTGACTCATCTCTATGATCTGCAAAGGTGCTGCCGTTTCTCCGCCCGTGCGTGGCACTAAGGGGACCACGATCAGACCAGGATGGGCGCCTCTGTTGTCTTGCCGGCCACATACGTGAAATGAACTAGAATGCTCCGCGCGCTCACCCCGCCTACCCTGTCGCATTGTACATCCAGCTGCCTGCGGCAAACCCCGCCATTGTGCCAGCGCAGCAGCGTAGCAGGAATGCTGTTAACCTCAAGACCTGCTCCAGCCCAGTTCTCCGTTTGAACTGGCACGGTTCTTGAACACCCTCTCTTTGTTTTTTGGCCTGTCCTCCTCTTGATTCACCTTTCTTTCTTCAGGAGGGAAAAGCACACAGGCACAATTAGTCGTCGATCCCCAAAATATGGGAATAGGTGGGAAGTGAGGGGGGGACGAACGTCCAGAACATATTGGAAGATATGGAGTATCCTGGGATTTGTGCGTATATCTATTTGCGTATCCCTGGGCCCCTTCATCTTGCTTCATCTTTCCTTCTCCTTTTCCTCCCCCCGCCGCACTCCCCCCTCCTCCCTCCTGGTATCATCGGAGGCTCCTCTCAGGCCTCTCTCGGCCCTCCTGTGGGCCTTCATTGCGGGCTTGCTCGAGTCGACCGGCTTCGACACCAGCGCGGGCGTGTAAGGTTGAACGCCGCCCGTGGCACAGAATCGGCCCTTTGAGAAACGACGAATCGATTCGGCGTTTCTCGAAGGGCCGATCGTTCAAGTTTGAACGATCTCCGCGGTGTCAGAGACCAACGCCGGGTTCGACACGACGCGAACCTGTAGTGCCGTCCTCCCTCCTCCCTTTCCTTCTCTCGTCGACCTCGTCCTCGTCCTCGTCGTCCTCGTCGTCGTCCTCCTCGTCGTCGTCGTCGTCCTGGTCGTCGTCGTCGTCGTCGTCACCGAGGGCCTCGCAGGACCTCCAGACTCTCCAGACGCCTCCAGAGGTCTCCAGGCCTCCTTGAGGCCCCCTGGGACTCCACAGACCTTCAGGGGCCGCCGTCGTCGTCGTCGTCCTCGTCCTCGTCTTTGTCCTCGTCTTCCGCGTCCTCGTCGTCGTCCTCGTCCTCGTCGTCCTCGTCCTCGTCGTCGTCGTCGTCCTCATCAGCATCAGCATCGTCGTCGTCGTCATCTCTCCTCACTCTCCTCTCTCTCTGTCTCTCTCTCTCTCTCTCTCTCCTGCTCTATCCCCGAGACAGGCTGGGGGAGAGCTCGCCCCAGGCAGCCCACCTAGTCGTTTTCGGTTCAGGGTTTGCGCCCACATCCCACCTCGGGGGCTGGGAAGCTTGGTTACAGTCGGGCCGCTGAAGGAAAACCCTTTTGTTTGAGGAGGGGCTCAGTGTTCCTGAAGTGTTGTGTTGCTTGTCTTGGGCTTTCCCTAGGTGTTCTATGGGACATAGACGCTTAACTTATGGAACAAAAAGGGGCCTCGTTCCTCATTCAGGTTCCTTATGACATTGTTTCGACTGTAGAGTTGACCAGCACACCCGCAACGGCCTTAATTGTTCTTATCCGCATGCCACAGCGGCAGACGCCGCAGCCGACGCTCGACGATGGCCCCTTTTCCTCCTTGAAGGCGTCTATAGGGCGTCGCTGGGCTCGACTTGAAGGGGTGTTTTTGGCGGTTTCGGAGAGTGTTTTTGCTCGGATGTCGTGTCGCGGCAAAGATGGAGCGAAGGCGGAACGACGCACAGCGAAAACGATGAAGGCACGGAACACCGTGTTTGGTCAGGTCAAGCCCTGGGGCGTCTCCTGTCGACGGGCAGGACGTGCCACGAGCCTGAACCCTCGCGAGGTCCGTGTGGACTGCTTGCATCGGCGGCGGACCCCCCCTCCCTTCTCTGGGCCTGCGGAGGGCTCCCCCGGGGGCTGTTCGTTTGTTCCTCGAGTCTTCCTCCTCCTCCTCCTCCTCGTCCTCCTCCTCGTCATCCTCCTCCTCGTCCTCCTCCTCCTCCTCTTCCACCTCCTCCTCCTCCTTCTCTTCCTACCTCCTCTCCTCCTCCTCCTCCTCCTCCTGAGTTATGTTTTCCCATCGTACTTGAGGGCCACGTCCCAGACATCCTCTCGAGCACCCCGTGAAGCGTCGAGGCGGTGCCTGCCCGACGCTCGGGCGGTGCCGACCGACTGTCGCCTCCCGGGGCCCGACACGTGAAAACTGTCTGATGGACCTGGTTTCCACCACCACCACCATAAGTTGGAGGGGGAGGGGGTCCTCCTCCTCCTCCTCCACCTCCTCCTCCTCCTCATCCTCCTCATTCCCCCCTCCAGCTTACGGTGGTGGTGGTGGAAAACAGGCCCATCACTGTCTGGTGCCGATGTTTTCTTATGGTGTGCTCGAGATACCTCCTGGTGGTCAAGGCTAGAGTTTGCTGGAGCATCACAAGGCCAAGCCGCAGAGCGGGACTCCGGCGCCGATCCGAGAAGTCCGCGTGGGCCTCTCAGCCTTTAGGGTCATGCGAGTTTGCGTGTCCCGTTCGAAGGCTTGGCCTTAAGATGTTCTTGCCTATTTTAGCGTTGACAGCCAGCAGGAATTCCGAGCATCGAGAGAGCATCGAGAATGGACGGTCTTCGCGTGTCTTGACCTGGGAGGCGATACTCGTTCGGGTCCTCACCAGCGTGTCGCGCAGAGATTGTTTCGATACTTTTTCTTGGTGCTCGAAATGATTTCTGGGATGTGGTCCTTACGTAAAATGTGAAGGAACAGCATACACTTGGCCCCACCTCGGCGGCGAGCGAGGGGGGGAAGTGAGAAGGAGAAGGCCTTCTTAGAAGGCTAGGAAGTCCCCCGGCCTTCTGAGAAGTTTCCTACGCCTTCCACGACGACGCCGACAACATCTCGGAAGGCGCGAGGGCTTCTGAGAAGGCATGCCGCCTTCTGAGAAGGCCTTCGTCTTCTCATTTTCCCTCCTCTCCCGCCGCCGCATGAAACACCTGCGCGGGAGGCCCCCCCCACACACTGGAAGTTTCCCTGTCAGGAGGTCACACACAAATGCTGGCCGCGGCTGCTCTGGACGCACAGGTCATATTCGGATCACATGGCGGGCCAACGAAGAACAGCGGCCAAGCGAGGTACAAACATATCGAGCGGGGAAGCGAGGAGCCGAGCTAGCAGCGAGAGCAGCCCGCATAACAAGAACCCCGACAACATCTCGGAAGGCGCGAGGGTTTCTGAGAAGGCATGCCGGCTTCTGAGAAGACCTTCTCCTTCTCATTTCCCCCCCCTCTCCTGCCGCCGAATGAATCACCTGCGCGGGAGTCCCCACACACACACACTGAAAGTTTGCCTGTCAGGAGGTCACACACAAATGCCGGCTGCGTCTGCTCTGGACGCGCAAGTCATACTCGGACCGCATGGCGTGCGGACAAAGAAGAGCGGGCCGAGCAAGGCCAACACATTGAGCGGGGGGGCGAGGAGCCGAGCGAGCAGCGAGAGCAGCCACCCACAACAATAACCCCGACAAGTTTTGAGGCTTGGCTTAAGTCGGGCGTGTCTCCCTACAGCGGGGTTTCCGACGAACAATAACAAAAACGCAACAAATACTTCCAAATGGCCAAAACGATTCAACACATAGTCCCCTTACGGATTTTTTTTTTTTTTTTTTTTAAATTATTTTTGTATATTCCCCCTGTAAAGGGACAGGCCCGCCTTAAGGCTTGGCCCCCCCTCTCGCCTCCGCTTCCTCCCCCCGGGTGCAGAGGGCGGTTGAGGGGGGGGGTCGGGCTGGCGGGCTGCCTCCGCGTGCGCGCGCGGCGCGCCTGTGCGCGGGGGGCCAGGCCCGCGGGGGGCCGCCCAGACGGCGAGCCACGACGGAAGGATCGGGGAGGAGGAGGAGGAGGAGGAGGAGGAGGAGGAGGAGGAGGAGGGGGAGGAGGAGGAGGAGGAGGAGGAGGAGGAGGAGGAGGAGGAGGAGGAGGAGGAGGAGGGGGAGGAGGAGGAGGAGGGGGAGGGGGAGGAGGAGGAGGAGGAGCAGCAGCATGACAGGAAGCAGGGGGACGAGGAGGACGACGAGGTCAATGACGATGACGCCGTCCTGGAGGACGACGGCGGCGTGCGTGGACACTCTCGTCGCCACGGCCAGGGGGGGGGCTAGGGGCCCCGCTGTCGAGGGGAGTTTTGCCAGGATTGGGGCGAGAACGACGACGGTGGCGGCGACGACCACGACGAACCACGACGGCCTTGACGACGACCACGGCAATGACAACCTCGGCGACGACGACCACGACGAAGACCGCCCCGACCACGACGATCACGACGACCATGACGACGACCACCGAGACGATGCCGACGACGCCAGGCAACAAGGGCGAGAAGGGCGACAAGGGCGGCTTCAAGGGATCCGCGGCCGCCGTGGGCCTCGGCCTCGACTGCCGATCTCACACAGCCGCGGCCGCTGCCCCTTCCCCCTGGCCTCCCGGCAGCCTCCTTCCTCCCTCGCCCCCCCCCCGCTGCCCTCCTCCTTACCTCCCTCCTCCCTCCTGACTCCTCCCTCTCTCTCTCTCTATTCCTCCCTCTCTCCCTCTTCCTCCTTCTCCCGTCTCCCTCCTTCGCAACGGGGGCGCCCTCGAGGCATCATCCAGCGTGTGTTGACGAGCTGGCCCAGTCTTTCACCAAACTGGTTGCAGGTGCTCCTCCTCCTCTTCCCCATTTCTCTCCTGCTCCTCCTTCTGCTCCTCCTTCTCTTTCTCCTCCTCATCCTCCTCTTTCTCCGTTTCATCACTGTCCCCAGTCCTTCGTCCCTCCCTCCTCCCTCCCTCTTTTCCTCGCAGCAATGATCCAGCTGCCTGCGGCAGGTCCCGCCACCAGTCCCGCCCAGCATGCTGGGTGGCGACTGCTACAGCGTGGGGGAGCCGTGATGGAGATGGCGATGCTGCCGATGATTATGATGATGATGATGATGATGATGATGATGATGCTGATGCTGATGCTGATGCTGACGCTGATGCTGATGCTGAGTTTGATGATGCTGATGATGGTGCTGATGAGGCTGATGGTGCTGATGATGATGGTGCTGATGATGAGGTTGATTATAATGCTGATGCGGATGATGATGCTGATGGTGGTGGTGGTGATTGTGACACGGACGCTCGTGATGATGCTTGGTGTGA